CGAGGTGGAGCTGGTGTATATTACTGTCAGACTTTGTGGTTATATCACAACTGAACACTGAGCAGTTGTTGATTGAAACTCTGCAAGTGCCCCTTAAAGTCTCCGTGCTCATAAAGGAGGGTAGTTTTTAAGAACAAATGCTGCTTAATGCTACAGTAACACAGGCAGCGGCACGACCAGAATTATGGCGGCCGAGTGCAATGAACTTGTGATCCTGACAAGTCCTGCAATGATTTGTGGTCAGTTGACGTCCTCAGAGCAACCCTGGTACATCAACTCAGTCGTAAATTACGATGGAGTCAGCGTGCTATCAGTTTGTGATTGAATCTGATCAAATTTAAATGTATTTGTCACAAACACACACACATATATTCTTTGAGTCGCTCTTTTTCATGATTCACAACCACTCAGTGCCTAGTTGCCAAGAAGTCGGTATTTTCTATGCAAACAATGTTCAACAGAAAAAATCTGTCATCAAAGCAGTCACATGAGGTTTTTGGTGCGACATCCTCCTTGCAACTGATTCGACTCCCAGGAACTGCTTGCCAACTAGTTGAGGAATGGATGGTTTTCCCTAGTGACCAGAGATAAATGGTAAATGGACTGGTGGATGGATGCAGCTGACATTTGACATCCAATTAGAGCAGCGGTCCCCAACCCCCGGGCCTTGGACCTGTACCGGTCCGTGAGTCGTTTGGTACCGGGCCGCGAGAGTTGAGGCTCAGGTGTGAAATGTATAGTTTTCAGGGTTTTTATCGGCTTTCAGCATTATTTTGTTATCGTTTTTATCATTTACTCAGTTCTCCTTGGTCTTTTCACGTGTGTTATGAATAAATTTTATTTTTTTCGGTACTGGTACTAGTTTTATTTTGTTGTATTTATCCGCGACACCTTAAAGGCCGGTCCATGAAAATATTGTCGGGCATAAACCGGTCCGTGGCGCAAAAAAGGTTGGGGACCGCTGAATTAGAGGATGACCTGCACAATCACCTGAGCTACAGCCACCCCAGGGGTTGCAAAGAGGCCCTGGTATGTAGTTGCACATATTATACATAAAGCACGTATTCTCACACATGGTTAGAAAGTAGGGTAAGGGTTAGTCCTAACCCTACCCTCTGGTTTACACGAGTTCTAGATTGATCAGCAGCCTGGCTCACTGTACTATCATTCATCGATCATTGATCAGTGCTTCAAATGATTTTACCCTGCATCTTATTGGCGAAGAATTCGTGGCAAAGCCAGGTGTAGCTATGGCCTCGCAATCATTAACAAGGAACAGCAAAGCCAACCCTAACAGCACTTTCGGATTAGGTAGGATTATGATGGAAACCATGTTTATCAAATGTACAATGATTCTGTGTAGTTAGACAACTGTTTTATGGCACGTTTTAAAATTCAGATTTTTTCCATAGCCGGTATACGGTTGCGGTCACCTCTTCGTTTGAAGAGTGAAACCAGTGCACAAATGTGCAAAAAGCGGGAGGGTGACTCCTCTGGTTGCAGAGAAGCCTGAAAAAAGCAGGCTTACTTCTCACTTACTTACTTTCCTAATTAGTTTTTAGGGTAATTTGCTACTTTCTAGTCTTATTTACTACAACATGATAATAATTTTTATAAATTATGGTTTAAAAAAAAATAAAAAAAGAATGTTTTAGGTCAAAAGTTGCAAATGTGTGTGATGTGTTTGCAAACCAATATGGTGATAGAGAAAATACTAAATAGTCTGTAAACCAATGAGAAACGTTACAGTTGCCATTCTTTATATACAGTCTATGATTTTTTAGTTATGTGTATTGTCACTCATATTCAAAATAGTATTTTTTATAGGAGTGGGGGATTTTCTGTACAGAACTGAACAGTAGTTATGTTACTGGGACATTTGTACTAATGCTACTTTGCGATTACCCTGAATTTCATCTGAATCTCTCATTTCTCCCTGGGGAGTTTCGGCTTCCCATGTCGGACAGAATTCTTTGTAAGGCTATTTTCTGCTTTGATGTCATGAACCAAACTGAGAGGGAAACGCTGAGTCATTGTTTTGCTTGGAAAAGTGTCAGATTTGTTTTTGCCAATAATTAAACTATTAACTGTTGGCACGAAACAGCAGTTTCAGCAGCTTCAAGCCAAATGCATCAGCGTCGGGATCGTCCTCCGTCTTGACCTTTGACCTCCATCATGTCAGTTGTGCGTAACTGCAAATAGCGTTGAAAGTTTCACCCAAATCTGGGCATTGGCGTCAACTGACAGCGTTTTCTCAGCATCAGCTCCACTCCTTAATGGATGGATGTCGGGTGTGTCGTGACACTTGCAATTCCCCGACTGAGGCGTCGGTGCCAAAACGAGCTCAGCTTTGGCCCGAATGTGTCTGCTCTCTGGCATCTTTAACCTGATCTGTAGTCACATAAAACCTTTCCTCTCTCTTCCTCTCTCTTTGATGTGTCATCAGCAGTGAAACTCCTCTCGGCGACCCAAAATGAGGCGTATCACCCCCTCACCGTCATCCTCCACGAGGCTGATTCTATAGCTCTCGCGGTGTAGATCTGAGCGGCACAGGTCAGTTTTAGATAACAGACACACCCGAATGCATCACTGTCATGCAACACTCTTTTATTTCTCCCTGAAATTAAACCATAAGAGAACAGCACGCGCAAACGACCGCAATGAGTATTCCCCTCATATTGTAACAGGTTTGGTCGAGCTGCTTCTGCTACTGATGATGCTGCTGCTGCCGGACTGGGCATAGATTCATCACCGCTGCGTCACGTGACGCTCACAGATCTAAATTAGGCCAATAATCAGGGACGCCTGGCGGCTGAGTTGTTGAATGCACAGCATGTACATGCAACAGTCCCGAGGCGTGTTCTGCAATGGCATCCTTCTCTCTCGCTCCCTTCTTGCCTTATTTCAGCGTGCAGCAAAAACCAGAGACGCACACGGACACGTTGATCCCTGCAAATATATCCCTAGCACATTGTGGGCCTCGTTAATAACCACACACACACACCGGCGGTGTCAGATGGCCAGTGATGTCGGCCACGGAGAGGGGAGAGCGGGCACGGCTGTAACACAAGCGACCGCACCAATCAGGAGACGGGAGTTGTTTGGTCATTTAAGGTTGGAAACAGGTCGACGTAGATCCTGGAGGGTTTTTCTTAGTTATTTACACTATTCCAGATTAATTGATGAGATTTACACCGGAGTGATGGGTGCAATTTGCAGGCAAAAGCGGGGATGGAGTGGGTTGTAGCACACCTGTAATCCTCAATGTGTGACCCTAATCCCAACCATGTCTGAGACAAATTGCAGCTGATTTTTTTTTAGGGGGTGTAAATGTAAAAATAATATAAATAATAATTTGTTTTAGTTCCCTGATTGCAAAGACTGAAAAGAATAATTTTCAAAAGCCCCCTCCCCCCACAAATCACCTTTTTTGTGAGGGTTAGGGTTTGTATTTTATTCAGTTAGTGCAGATTATAATATTATATTTTTATTATATTTGGCACATTAAGACTTTATTTTTTGCTTCCTCCTTGTCTGTTTAGGGTGAGTGCACACCGTTACACTGAGAGACCGGAGAACACCACCCGACACGAAATCAGGAAGCTTCCAGGACGAAGATCTAGCCGTCTTCTAATCGAGAGGCCGGAGCGTCCCCGGGCAAAAATACTGAACCTCAGACTGCTGCTGACAGATCCCTCATCGTGTGTGTGGGGTGTGTGAGCTCTGAGTAGAAATTAATATAAGTACAAACACATTTACACTGACAGAGGTATGCAAATTAACATTTTCAAAGGACAAAATCACATGCAAATTTTTACAAACCTAAAAAAAAAACCTTGATTGATTGAACAATTGGAAGCCAGAGGAGAAGTAAATATTAGCACATGTGTGTGTGTGTGTGTGTATAGTCTCTGTTTTCTTTCAGAGACATTGCAGATTAAATTTTCACAAGGCAAGAAAAAGAGAAAAAGATTCCATGTTTGTAAAAGCTTTTGAGAATAAGGGTGGGGTTTAAAAGTAAGCTGTAAGAGGATCACTTCTCAAAGGATACCTGCACGGACAGAAGTTAAGCCGCAAGTGCACGAACGTGTCTAACAGGTCAGCTTGTTACAGACGGACTCCCTGCACGCTTCTTCTAGAGCAAGAAGTTCGCAGCATCGGGTGAAAGTAACACCAAACAGCGTCTATCACAGATTCTTCTCTAATTCCAGCAAAGCAGTTTTTCTTATTATTATTTTATTTATTTTGCATTTTTTTGCTTGAAGCACAGCACGCATCTCTGCCTCTGATTCGGCTTCTTATTGCTGATTTTTTTCTCCTGCCCCATTAGCGGTAAATACGCCGCCTTTTGTAGGTTTGATTTGTGGTCGTTTACGTGAAATCTTCTGAGGACTCAGTCGCTGTGGGCAAAAACGATCTGCAGAAAACCCACTAAAAGTCAGCTGCTTTGACCTCTGACCTCCCCCGTTTGCCGCCTGTGATCTCAAAGTTGCATCCTATGAGTGACGTTTGTTATTATTAACACGGAGGGTTTTTTCTCTCTTTTTTTTTTGTAACAGCAGCTGACAGCGAGCGTAACCCGACTGCTCAGCAGTCGCAAAAACAGAAGCCGTAATTAGACCGACAGATCCTCCAAATACTGCGAGACGTTCCTGCAGAAGCCTCTGCACTGCTGTCTTTGTGTGTTTACACCGTCAAAAAAAACTAAAAGTGGGCCTCCTCTCTCTCTCTCTCTCTCACACACACACTCTCACTCACACACACACTGAGGCTGGGAGAGAAAATTAGGATTATAATCTCGGTAATCAGCAGTCACGCCTGAGGCGGGCAGCTGCAGAACTGCAGAGCTCCAATTTAGGCGTCGGACATTAAAAACCATTAAAACCCAAGTGAATTTCCCACTTATTGATTTTTCTGGGGCAACAATTCAACTTCAGGAAGGAGGAACGACAGAAAAAAGAAAGAAAGCCAAAAGAAAAAGCAACAGCGGGTAATGTGCTGCGAAATGTTCTGGTTTTTATTTCAGGAAAAGAAAAAAAAAAGCCATAAAAAAAACACACGTTTTGATCATTTTCACTTCAAACCTGCACAGTTATCTCACACTTTTTATTCTGCAGGTAATGCGCACACACACAAAATGATGAATCATGCATGTGTTGTTTTGGGTACCCCCCCCTTCCCCTCCCCTCCCTTCATTGAAACCAATATATTCATTAAGCACAAGGTCCCCCTATAGGTCACACACCGACTGTAATCCGTTTTCACGGTGAATATGTGGTGGCCCCACGGACGATGGAGGGGTGGGGGTGTGGGAGAGGTGCCACTCAGTGGGGGCAGAGTTGGAGCTGTGGTTCAAGTGTGTGTGTGTGTGTAAGAGAGAGAGTGAAAGAGGAGGAAAAAGGGGGTGGGGGGATTATGGCGTGACTGCTTGGTTTACACCGTGGTAGCAAATTACACGTGACAACAATTCACCCGGAACCAGAACCACTCTGGACCCTGAGCAGCAACAGCAACGGGGGGCGAAGCAGCTTCGCTGGTCCTCGTCATGCTCAGGTTCCTTGTCTTCCTCCTTCGACATCATCCTCATCAGGGTTTAAGGAAGGAGACAAGAAGAAACGATGGAAGTGATTAAAAAAATACAGAAAAACAAAAATAATGAGAGAGAGAGGACACTTCCTCTCCTTGCAGACAACAACAATAACAATAATAATAATAACAAAAACACAGAGGAGGGGTTTCTATGCAAAAGTTTCTTTTGCAACATCTGATGTTTTTGTTTTGTTTTTTTGGTGTGAGTGTTGGGGGGGGGGGGTCATAGGGGTGGAGGTGGTGGAGGTGATGGGGAGGTTGAGGTGAGGTGGGGGTGAATCAACCAGTTCAGCCCCTTGATTGATGATTTAATTAGCCATACAGTGGCCAACTGCAGGGAGGACAGGACGCAAAATAATGCTTTATTTACATAACCAATCAGAGCACTGCAAAGGTGGAGCTTCCTCCCTCTCTCCCTCCCTCTCTCTCTCTCTCTCTCTTTCTCTCTCTCTGTGTGAGTGGTGCAGAGATGGTTGACTTCTGTAATAAATGCGGGATTCATCCTGTTAAGTGGCGTCCAGAAACACACACACAGACAGAGAGGGAAAAATCACTCGAACCATCCCGGAATATTCCTCTGATATTCCTGCGCGGGCTCGTGCGGCTGTGGCGGTGTGACATCACACTCACTTCATTCCAGTTGGGGTCTTTTTTTTTAAAATAAAAACAAACAAACAGAAAAAATGTAATGATTCCCCCCCCCCCCCCCCCTCACACACGCGCCGAGGCTGCGCGGCAAACATCGAGGGAACAAACGGCGAGGACTCCTGCAAACCGGTAAACATGGGACTATTTTTTTTTCGTGTTTTATTTTCAGTTTTTTAAGTTGGATAATGCGCCGAGTTTGCGCGCAGGTGCATTGATTTAAACACACCTCCAGAAACGAACCGCAAAAAAAAGAACAAAACTTGTTCCAAAAGCATCAAAAAATAAATACGAGGGGAAAAAATAAAAGAATTAAGACGAGCCGAAAACAAGAAAATTATAATTTCTAACATTTTTCACTAAAAAACGAAAACATTTTCTTCAGAACCCAAAAACTAATAAAATTGAGGAAAAGCTGTATTTTCACCAAATTTACATATTTTTACAGCGTAAATAAAAACCGAACATCCGTCAATCTTTTGCAGCCAATTGCAAAATAATAATAATAATAATAATAATAATAATTAAATAAAGAACACATGTAACTGCCCCCCCCCCCACCAGCTCCAGCATCCCTCTCCTGTTTCTGCGACTTAAACCACATTACTCCTAACAACAGGCACACATTTCCACGAGCGAACACATATAAATGAATCATTCTTAGGAGTTTTTTTCCTTTTGCCCCCCTCCCCCCAACCACCACCACCTCACCTCCTCCACCTATCTTCTCTCTCTGCAACACAAACACTCAGAAGACAGGGGTTAAAAAAAGAAGCACACTCACTGTCGCCTGGTTCTTACTCCGTGTCGAAGCCCGACATAGTTGGTTTCACGCTCCAAAAAAATAAGAAGAAGAAAAAAGGGAAAAAAAGAAGACGAAGAAGAAGAGAGAGAGGGAGGGAGGGTGGAGAGAGAGAGAGAGAGAGAGAGAGGGGGAAAAAAAAACTTGAGCCCAGAAAGATGCTCACGTTTGGCTCTCCTCAATTATCCCCTCCCGTGAAGATAGGTGGCGTGCGTTTCAGGGGGCTTCTCCTCTCTCTGTGTGTTTGCACGGCAAAGAAAAGGAGGTGGAAAGGGAAAAAAAAATGTCATTAGAAGAGGCGTAACACGTCAGTCCCTACCCAGGTTTGTTTCCTGGAGTGGGTGTAAGACATCAGTTGTAAACCTGCCCTAGCAGGAATAGCGGTCCCTCCCTCCTCCCAACTATTTCTAAGGCTTTTATTTCTAAGGCTTTATCATCACCGGTGGAACAGGACCCGCTCACCGCCGCCAAGCTCCCGCTATCAGCCCGTCCTCGCAGCTCCTCTTCCCCGCAAAAAGAAGCCTCTGGACCCTCCATTTAAAAAAAGCAAAAAAAAGAACAAAACAACAAAAATTAAAACCCAAAAGAGAAAAAAAACAGAGCCGAGCAGGTATGTGCATCCTTACTTTTCTATCATTTCCACTCTTTTTTTTCTTTTATATTCCTCTTCTCTCGCGCTCTCTCTCCTTCTCTCTCTCTCTGTCGCTCTCGCGCTGTCGCTCGCTGTCTCGCGGACAAATTGTGTCGGATATTACAACTTCCACGCGCTCGCGCCAGAGTTTGGGAGCTCCGAAACTTCGACTTACCTGCGCAGGTGGAGAAAGGTGCGCTTGGGTTTAAAAAAATTATTTATTTAATTTTCTTTAAAGGAAAAAAAAATTCATCCGCTTTTTACATTTTTCTCACACACACGCAGACACACGCCTCCCTGCGCTCTGCTCGCCGTCTCCCTCCGCGGTGTCCTGTAGAGGCGTCCTGCGGGGTTGTGACAGTCGGGGAGAAGCTGCTTTTTGTCGGGCGTCTGTCGCCGCACAGCCCCGGAGACCCGGAGGAAAAAAAGGCGATTCCGTACGGGTGTCTTTGTTTTTTTTTATTCATTTATTTATTTCCTCTCGTTCTGGATCTTATTTGAACCATTTCTCCCATTCGCTCGCTCACTCAGCTCTCCACTCCAATACCCACTTCTCCCAGTAACGGCGATTTGCGCTGATAGATTCGCAGGCGAAACGCGCAATTTGGCTCTAATCGCTTCTTCTACTTTTATGTTTATGCGCCATTTGTGCCTTAAAGCTTTCTTTCCTCTCTCCTCTTTCTTCTTCTTCTTCTTTTGGCACATTTGAACAATTATCCCCCCCCGTCCATCTGTTATTTATTAGCGGAGTTTGGATTCACTTTATTAAACCTGAAAGAGCAATTTTTGCTCAAGTGTTTATCGGGAGTTGCGTGACTTTTAAATCCCAGGGAAAGCCCTCCGTTTTTTAGAAGAACAGAGTGACTGAAATGTGAGTTTGTTCTCCCTAAAAAAAAGCGCAAAAAACTAGAAAATGATTGTTTTGAAGTTTAATTAAAAGAAGTGGATTTTTTAAATATTTTGCTTACATCGGAGAGGAGGAGGTTGAGAGCGGGCTGTGAAACTTTACTGATTTTAAAATAAGAACAATTCCGCTTCTCGTCCTCAGCCCTGATCTCTGAGCCGATCAGCTGAAAATCTAAATTAGACGGACACGGATCTCCCCCCACCCTCCACCTCACCGCTCCTCTCCTCTCCTTCCTTTCCCCTATTTCTCCCATTTTTTCTTTCCTCTTCTCTCTCTTTGAAACGATCTGTCCCTCCGATCCAACACGCATTTTCAGCTTCTCGTCCGGGGCGCAAGTGGATGTGGATCACTCTCACACCCCTCCTCCTCCTCCTTCTAGTACTTCACCACCACCACCACTACCTCCTCCTTCCCTTCACCCCAACTCACATTGTTGGTGCTGGTGTGTGTGTCTGTGTGTGTTTTCAGATCTCAAGCTGAAATCAAGGAATCGAGTCCATGCGAGCTGCCATCTGATCCCACACACACACTTATCAATGAAGCAGGAGATCATGGCGGATGGCCCCAGGTGTAAGAGGCGAAAACAAGCCAACCCGAGACGGAAAAACGGTAAGAGAAAAGATGACGGGACGCAAAGCTGCTGCTGTTGTTGTTGTGGTGTTAGTGATGGTGGTGGTTGTGTGTGTGTAGTGTAGAGGTGGTGGTATCTTTGGATGTAAGCCCGCTTTCAAGGCTTCTCGCTGCGGTTCAGGGGTGTGTGTGTGAGAGAGAGAGAGAGTCCGCGTTCATTCGGGCTTAAAAAAAATAAATTATTATGACTATTTAGTTTATTTAGTTTTTACGCGTGGATGTAAAGAGAGCGTTACCCCGAGAGAGAAAGTGTGCGTAAATGCGTCCTAGGATTCAGTTTCTCTGTTTTTCCCCTTTTTTTAGTTATTTATAATTTGAAATAATAGCGGCTTTTAATTGTGGTGAAGTGAGGCGGAGGGTGGAGGGGGTGAAGATTGTCAGGAGGCTTGTGTTGAAAAAAACAAACAAAAACAAAACAAAAGAAAAGTCCAAAAATGTTAAATAGTAAGAATAAACTTGTGGATGTTGGAAAGTTTGGCGGTTGCCGGCTGCTTTCTCTTTGGGGAAAAAAAGAGAAAAGACAAGAAAAATCCGCCATGGGGGAGGACTGAGTGTCTGCCTGAGTGTAGCGGTCACTGGCTGTGGAGGAAAAAAAAGTCCAGTCTTGTGACTTTGAGTTTTTAATCCACGCGCTGGCACTCCGTGACCACGACACACAAAAACACACACACTCTCCCCCTCTATTTCTATAATAAATCCACGCTAATGGGCCTTTATATTCTTTCTTTTTCATTAGTATTTTTCAAAGTCTTTGAACGCCTCACTGTCGCTGCTTTTCCGGGACATATATCACAGGAGGTGGCACTTGGCTTCTCTGGTTCACTTTTTTCCTTCTTTGAATTTTTTTTAAACGATTAAAAAAACAACAACAACTTTATTTTCCTATCAGTAAGTGAAGGCAGCACGAGGGGCTTGTATAAATAGGGTGACATGTCCGATAAATGCTGGACATTAATTGGGTCTGGACTGGGGAGCGCTGGAGGTGGAGATTTGTTGCTTTTCTTCCTCCATTTGACTGCACCACACTTTTCCCCACAAGAGGCAAATCTGCAGTGACATTTCCTGGCCCCCGTTATTCCTGATTATTCCATACAGGCTCAGAGAGAGAGAGAGTGTGTGTGTGTGTGGAAGTGTGTGTGATTCAGCAGGTTTTTATTTGCAGTTTTTAATTTTATAAGAAAGGAAAGACAGAGAGAGAGAGAGAAAACTGTGCCCCCACAGGTTATTTATCTAGATCAGATTTCACTTATTGATCCCGCGCAATCGATGGCAGACAAGCATTTTGTTCCACGCTTAAAGAGCCTCCCAACAGTGCAGGAGATCTCTCACGTTCTGGATCTGCGGCAAGATGGAATAACGAGGACGGAAGAGATGTGATGGTGTGTGTGTGTGCATTTTAGCCTTGGCCACCTGTTTTGGTTAAAAAGGAAATAAAAATAATAATAATAATAGGAGCACAAATATCATTTTCACACCCTTAAACCTGACGGAGCTCTGGCACGGCTGCAGGGAGATTATTTTTATCCGTTGTAGGGAAAGCATGCAGCGTATTCCCGTCTTCTTCTTTCCTCATTTTAAAAGAAAGTACATTTATTTTAAAAAAAAAAGTCAAACAAGCTCTCTCTGATGACACCCCCCCCACTCTTCCCTTCTTCCTCCTCACTCCTCAACCCCTCACCCCCCCCCCAACCCCCCTCCTCTGGGAATTCAGAGGCTTATTGAGGCTTGGCCACTCTCTCCTCTCTGTGTCCTCTTCCTGCCCAGGCTCGGGTCGCTCGGAGGGGATGGCGGCGTGTTTACGGCCCGGCTGCCACACTTAAAAACAAAACACAGATTTAAAAATGAAGAAGAAGAAGAAGGAATGCTAAATATTCCAGCAGACGGATGTCGAGTTAGGCGCACTAACTGGCAAATCAGATGAATGTACACAAATGCGATATACGTTGAATTAGAGCTGGTGTCTCTGAGGCGGCGGTGTGCTAATTCTAATTTGTGTGCCACCTGTTTTGTTATGTTTTTTTTTTTTACTATTTTTTTAAAAATAGAAATAACACACACACACCCCTTCCTCCTCCTCCTCCTCCTCCTCGGTGGAGCGCTTTCTTGGAGCCCCCCTTTGACATTCTCCTCCAGATGACTGTTGGCCTTCAGGGTTGGAGTTGCTGCGCTCGCTCTCACGTCATGTGGTATTTAACAGCGCAGTTCGCCACTTATCCCTCTCCCAAAAAAACCCCCACCTCTCTTGCAGATTTCCGAGCAAAATATTTTTTATGAAAAAGCGCAGAAATGACATTTTTTTATTCTCACACGACTGTTAGAACCACCGCAGAGAGAGGAAGAAGAGAGAGAGAGGGTCTCTTCTTCCTGCTGTGAAACTCGATCTCAGCAGCGTGAAGCGTTTGAGAGTTTGGCCTTCGCCAGGTGTTGCTTGTCACATCCAGCTGTGACAGCACACACACACACACACACACACACACACACACACACATACATACACACACCTGTCCTTATTTTCTTATTACTCAACCAGCATCAAAAACAAAAAAGAAACCACGAAAAGCTCGGCTCTGTTTTTGCAGTTTGGACTCCCTGCACGAGCAGAGGAGGAAGGAGGAAACACACATGTTGCAGATGTTGCAGGTGCTCTTCCCGTCCTGCTTTCTTTTTTCCTTTTCTTTTTTTCTTTTTCAGTGATTCTTCGCCCTCCAAAATACTCCTATTACATAATCCGAAGCAGTCCGAATCCTGCTCTCTATCTATTGCTGACTCTTTCTCCTCAGTTGTGCGAATGTTGTCACATATTTATGAGTAAAATGGAGGAAGAAACCATCTTTTTATTCTTCTTCTATTCTGCTTGTTTTTTTAAAGTTGTGTTTGGAGCATCTGCAGTCAACAATTTAGGGGGGTCAGGGCGACTAAGCAAAAAGAGAAAGAAGGGGTTGGGGGTGAGGAGGAGGAGGTTTCACGGGGCGCTCGCGGACAATTGATTGTCAGCGGTAATGTGTTTCATTTACATGTTTATACCGTCAATAGTGGCGAACGAGGGGGGGGGG